TGTTGCTTATTTTTTCTGGCCATCTGATCTTCAGCAGCGAGCGTAAGCAGTTGTTGATGAATGTCTGTAGTTTATTGGAAATGCCTTTCGTGACGCGCCAAGTCTCTGAGCCATACAAGAGCACTGACTTGACGTTGGTGTTGAAAATCCGTATCTTGTTCCACATGCTGAGTGCAGAAGATCTCCACACTGGTTTCAGGCTAATGAACGCCTGTCTTGCTTTTCCGATTCTGACTTTGACGTCCTCGTCCGTCCCGCCTGTAGTTGAAACAGTGCTTCCTAGATAAGTGAAGGAGGTTACTTCCTTCAAGTTTCTCCCGTTGACGGTGATTGGAGTTGGTTGCTGTTGTTGTTGTTGATGGTGGTGGTGCGGTATCTTCATCACTTCTGTCTTCTCTATATTCACCTGAAGTCCCGTCTTAGCTGCCTCTTCTGTCAACTTGTTAGTTTTTGCCTGCAGATCTTCAAGTTTATGTGACATTAGGCATAAGTCATCGGCGAAGTCCAAGTCTTCTAGGTTCTTTTCCGTCGTCCAGTGTATCCCCCTCTTCTCGCTGCCTACTGTTTGCTGCATGATCCAGTCCACCACAATAAGGAATATCATGGGGGATAGTAGGCAACCTTGTTTCACTCCTGTCTTCACTTCAAAGGCATCACTGAGCTTCCCATTGTGGATTACTTGGCATGTGGCATCTTCATATAGTTGTTGAATGAGGCGGATAAAGGTTTGCGGTACTCCGTAGTATTGAAGCAGTTTCCAAATTACTTCTCGGTCGACGCTGTCAAAGGCCTTCTCAAAGTCGATGAAGTTGAGGTATAGAGCTGATTGCCATTCTACGCTCTGTTCTATGATGATACGAAGCGTTGCAATTTGGTCAGCACATGATTTGTACTTCCTGAAGCCTGCCTGTTCCGGTCGCAGTTTTGAATCCAGTGCGTCTTTAAGCCTCTCCAGGATGATGCGGCTTAATATTTTACTTGGGGTGGATAGGAGAGTGATTCCGCGCCAGTTCTTGCAAGCACTGAGGTCTCCCTTCTTCGGCAGTTTGACAAGGTAACCCTTCTTCCAATCGTCAGGTACCTTCTCTTCCTTCCACACCTTCTGCAATAGTGGTGTGAGCATGTCCGCTGTTGTCTCTGCATCTGTTCTCAGTGCTTCTGGCGGTATTCCATCTGGTCCTGCTGCTTTCCCACATTTCAGTAGCTTTATGGCGTTCAGGACTTCCATTTTCGTTGGGGGATTTATGTTCACTTGTAATTCAGCGGCTGCAGGTGGTATTTCTGGACGAAGTGCAGGTGGTGGTCGATTCAAGAGCTTCTTGAAGTGGTCGGCCCATCGTTTCCTCTGTTTCTCTTCTTTTGTAATTAAATTTCCTTCTTCATCTTTTATTGGTTTCATCTGTGTTGGTCTCTTCCCTGATAGCAACCTGGTTATTTGATACAATGTCGTCAGGTCTCTCTTACCTGCAGCCTGTTCTGCTTCACTTGCCAGTGTGTCGTAGAAGTGTCTTTTGTCTTTGCGTGCACTCTTCTTCACTTCTTTATCCAGTGTTTTATACATTGTGCTCAGTTCCTCTTGTCGTTGAGCATCCTTGCACTGGTTTATCTTCTGCTTCACCATCCTCCTCTCCTCTATCAGCTTCCAGGTATCCGTCGAGATCCATTCCTTGTCTTCTTTCTTCTTCCTTCCTAATACTGTTGTGCAGGTTTCTTTCCACATAGCTTTCAAAGACTTCCAGTGTTCTTCCACACAGGTTTCTTCAGGGATGTCCCTCGACGTCTCCCATTTTGTCTTGATGGCTGCTTTGAAGATCTCCTTTGTAGTTTCATCCTTCAGTTTCCGAGTGTTGTACTTGAATTGAGGTCTATCACCAGCTTCCTTGAAGGCTTTTAACTTGATTTGGAAGGTTCCTTGCACTAGATAGTGGTCTGAACCTACATCTGCTCCTCTTCTTGACCTTGTGTTAAGTAGACTGCGTCTCCATTTTCTTGAGATTGAGATAAAGTCGATTTGATTTTTAGTGTGTCCATCTGGTGAAGTCCATGTCGCTTTGTGGATATCCTTGTGCCTGAACACACTGCCTCCAATCACCAAATCGTTGAATGCACAGAATTCTGCAAACAATTCTCCATTCTCATTCATTTCGCCTAGCGCCTCTCGACCCATGGTTAGTTCTCTTCCCGTGTTGTCCCCTCCCAGTTTGGCATTCATGTCGCCCATCAGAATTTTGATATCGCCAACTGACGTCTTGTCCAGTGTTGATTGAAGTTGTCTGTAGAAATCCTCCTTTTTCTCTTGCTCTGCATTATTTGTAGGTGCATAACATTGTATGATTGTGACCTTTCTTCCTTTTGAGTTGAATCTTGCTGTCATGATCCTGGAGGAGATTGGTTCCCACTGCATGAGAGCCTTCGATGCTCTTGAGGACATCATGATAGCCACTCCCTCAGTGTGCTCGTGGTTGGCGTCTGGGTGACCGGAGTAGATTATTGATTCTCCAGTTGACAGTTTGGAGAGTCCACTCCCATTCCATCTGCTTTCGCAAATCCCAAGCACTTCGATGTTATACCTTCTCATCTCCTTTGCAATCTGGGCTGCCTTACTGGGTTCAAACATCGTGCGGACATTCCATGTCCCCACGTTTACTTTCGCTTTCATCGAGAGAAGACACATCGGCCAATTGGCTTCCCGAAGGCTTTCACCAACTGGCGTCATTTCGCCTCTCCGATTCCAGCGGGGAATAAGTTTGTTTTCATTTTTTATATTTTGTTTGTGCTTTGAAGTTTCTTTAGCGGTTAGATTTGTTTTACGGGGTAGGGTTGCTAGCCCTATGCCCAACCTTCCCTCTTTACCCGGGCTTAGGACCGGCTAGTAACTAGTAAACTAGTTAACCAGGCGAGGTTCAGGCATTGTTAAGCAGATGGTAATTTGAAGATTAGACCAATAATCAGTCACAAACGTTACCGAGAGGGTAATCTTCAGTAATTAGGTGAATTTGAGTAAAGACTCCATTTGCTGTGATCAGCAATAGGGTAGAGAATGAAAGGAGGGAGAGGAGAGGGTGAAAGTCTTCAAGTTTCTCATTCGGGTATTTGTAGGTTAACTGCTGACTCCTTCTGAATAAAAAGACCATGCTTTACCGTTTCAATTAGGAAAGCATCTAGTAATCTAGTTAAGGCAAACCTCAACCGTATATTGTCTACTTTGAAGGCATCATGCCCTGTGTCAAGCGAATGGTAAGTAATTCAGCTTTTGATGCCATTCAGTCACTTAAGTGTAGGCCTTTCGGAGTGTATCTAGGGAAATGAGTAACTGAGCATCACCTTCTCCTGTGCATCTATGTAACTTCGTGGGTTAAAAGAGAACTGGTAAATGCAATATCAGGTGGCACAAGATTGGTATTTATCTAACTATCTTTTTTTTTATTGAACAGTTTACTCCATATAAGACGATTAAGTTCACCACAGGAAATTTGTTACTGAGTGTTACTCTCAATCTTTGATTAGATATTTTTGTTATTTGATTTCCTTTGAATGGTGATGGGAGAAAGAACAAAGGTAGGTAACTTCGGCACAGTATAGCGGAGGGAAATTACACGTATCAAAATAACGACTGATACCCGTTGCATAAGAAGTAACTCTTGTGTTCCATTGGCCTAGGGGATAATACTTAGGCGTTTCAAGCAATAGGTACTGGGTTTGAGTCTCAGTAGGAACATCGTAACTCACTGTGGTGCAAGCAAATCCAGCTGACGAGTCCAGAATGGGGCGAAACGCGCATCTTGGATCCCACTACCAGCTTATAATATCAATGTAACATCACGAATAATCAACAGTTTATCATTTAACTTAGTTAATGCAGCACCTAGGAATGAATTTCTTACGGTAACTATTCATATATAGACATTTCTGAGTGAAAGCCAGTCCCTTCTCCAATGCTTTTGGCGGGTAAAGTTTTCTGGTCCTATAATGTAGTGTCCTAATCAGGCATCTTTCATACCTTGTCATTCAAAAGCTGCCGAAGTTGAGATATTGCCTCATAAGGTTCCTTTATAACAAATATATCTCTGACACATCCCATCATTTATTCATGTGATCATAAGTCCAGAAAACGAATGACTTTCTTGATATCCTGTTAAGTCAATAGTTATATCTAAGCATCTTGAAGGAGTTAAAAATATTTCTGCCATCCTTGTTATTCTGCCTGAAAGTGTGAAGTATTATAGAGTTTTTAAAATGTCAGGTGTGAATAGTTAATCTTTGCCAAAATGAAATCACCGTCTGCATGGAGGCATCTGTACACAAGCCCATATATTAACGTCAGCTGATCTAATCGGTTCAAACCAATGCAAAAATGAGAGATAAAAAAAATTTAATATCAATCTTTCCTAACGTCCAAACGATGGTTGTCAGCGAAGAACTTCATTTCTTCCATCCTATTCTAAAATAAATTACTTATTCTCGTCCTTATCTGTGGGAGCAGTATTTCTGTTTAAACAAGAGTGATTCGTGAGACTGGAAAAAGAGTGAACTACGTTGTGACTCGACTAACAGGTCCGTGAATAGTTATCCTATTCGCACCGTCAACTTAATTACTCAATATAACTGCTTGTTAGCTTACTATTTCGTTGATATTATTCACACATTGTTGATAAATGAAAAGTTTATACTTTACTGTTTATTAACTATTTAGAAGTAGTATTCATCATGGACTTCATGAGTTGGGGAACCGTTGAAAACCTGGGAGCACTGGAAGGCTGTTTCGTCCCAAGATGGGACTCCTCGGCAGTATGCACCCACCACCCGGCCAGGGATCGAACTCAGGACCTACAGGTTTCACGGCGGACGCGTTGACCATTCAGCTGTCCAGTGTTCCTAGATTTCCAATGGTTCCCCGACTGATGTCAGTCCATGATGAATACTACTTCTAAATTAAAAATCCTCATTCATCTCAAAAATATATCAACTATTTAGTCTATTCTTCTTGTCTTTTTAACTAGAAAATGAGTACAGAGAAGATGAAAACCTTGGATATGTCTACCCATCAGATGTACATAATTATCGACAGTATTCAGTTGGTAAGAAACGTCCACATGAAGAACAATTCCCTTTACATTCTTATCATCAAATTCCTTATGAAGATCAAGCAACTGAACCTCAATGGAGACAAACATATAAGGCGGATATTACCTCTGACAAGTATCTTATTCCTCATAGAGGTGATTCATTTCGAAGAGCTGTTAGCTTAGACAAATCATCATTTACCCCGAGTTCATTGTATAGACAACATTGTCAACAATATCATCATCAGCAACATAGACAACAACAATATCCAGAAGAAAGTTTAGAATCTAAATTTACACGTCAATGTCAATTTAAATATCGTCTTCCATATTATTCATCATCATTAGATTATCCATCATCGTCTAGTAGTAAAGCAAGACCATTACTTCATCCAGGATATGTACAAACATATAACTTTTTCACTCCAATTGAAGAGAAAGGTGATTATGAATCAGAAATAAAACGTCATCCACTGGAAAGCAAAGTATATGAAGGTACTAAGGATATCTTGGACCAAAATGAAAAGGTAATTGATAAACTACTTCACATTCGGTCTAAAAATGTTAATAATGTTAATATTCATTTTATGTGATTCCCTGTTTCATGTTTATCTGAGTTGAATACTGACTGAGTTGGGAAGGCGGTCAAAGATTCCAGGCTGGGCATAACATGGAAATTTACTTTTTCCTGAGATGCCAGAAGAATAAAAAGAATTCATAAAAGTGTTTTTTATGGAATGCGTGCATGACCACAAACCACAAGGTATCTCTACCTGAAAACACTCATACCCACCCTTTTGAGGAGACTGGCTACAATTCAACTGATCTGGGAAACTCCATACCATCAGCAGTAAAAGACTACAGGTCAGAGTGGAATGTGTTATCTTAAGAATTATTTTTTCCAACTTTTTCTGTCGATGAGGAAAACCGGTATCAGTATGGAATCCTGATCATCCTCAGAAAGTATTTTACTACAGTCACGCTTCATATAACCAGCTTAATAACCTCACACTGAGGTCCTCAACACTATATAAGCTGTTTACGGGGTCCAAGTAAATGTTTTAAATTTTACCACTATTCAACAAATCTTTCTGGGATAGTAGTATCTCAAGAAATTGTTTTAACCAGCATATCTTGTTGGGTGACTGAAAAATACAGGCCCTACCTTCACATCAGTTGAGAAGCTATCGGTTGATCACACAGCCATTAAATATGCTGGGAGATGGAAGGTTTTAGCTGTCGCTTTCGAAGCACTGGTAATGGGTTGTGCAATCCCCAATTTAGCAACGTAGAATTCACAAATAGATTGTTAGGAAGAAAAAGAAATTCACTTGATGAGGTTTCAAACCTTTGTTCGTTGACATGTAACTTGCCTCATGAACATTGTAGATGAACTGAGTCATTAGTTTTATCTCCAGCGGAAAATACTTTCCTAGAAAGAAGCTGTGGTAATTCTATTCCGCTTGATCATCACATTTGTAGTTTGACAAAATATATATTTTTTGTGTGCCGTTGAATCAATCGTCTCATTACTCATCGCGAATAAATGATGAAAGTCTTATAAACACAAGGCTGTTGAGTTTCGATTGACACTCCTCGTTCGACGGGTATAGTTTTAAAGTTATGACTTGTAACTTCCTTCTTGTTTATCTTGGATGTGCTTTAAGTTGGAAATAGAGTCTGCTTTTATACCAAACAAGAAGCAATTTGGAAACTGCCTCAACACTAAGGTTTTAGTGCCACAAACCTCTATCAATCTCATTCAACAACTATAGGAAGATGCCATATGCCGAGTGATTCACAATGGAAAGCTTAGTGACGCCTTTGAAGTGAAGATAGGAAGGAATAATACAAGGTTCTCCACTATTATCACCGATGACCTTTCTGATTGTAGTTGACTGGAGTGAACTGGATAATGCAACAAACTGTAAGGAGCGAGAGGAGGGGCATACGCTGTTTGACTGATGAGAAGACCACAGAAGAAGATCTAGATTTCGCTGATGATCATTTACTTCTAATATCGCGTGAACTCGAAGATCTACAGGCAAAAACTAACAAGTTGACAGAAGAGGTGAGGCAGTGAAGACCGGAATTCCTTCAGGTGAACGTAGAGAAGACAGAGGTGATGAAGATACTCAACCAACAACAACAAGCACAAATAACCATCAATGAGAGAAATGTGAAGGAATTTGTCTCTTTCACCTACCTAGGCAGCATCGTCTCAACTACAGGTGGTGGCACAGATGAGGATGTCAAAGGCAGCCAGGATCGGAAAAGCAAGATAGACTTTCATTAATCTGCAATCAGTGTGGAGATCTCTTGCACCGCATTGGACTGCATTTAGCCTAAAGCGTGAACGGGATCCAGATTTTTAACACTAACGTCAAGTAATTCAGTGCTCCTTTGTGATTGTTCAGACTTAGTGCGTTACTAAAGGCATTTCCAGCAAACTATAAACATGCACGAACAGCTGCCACCTACGCTCATTTGAAACTGAAGATCAGATGGCCAGAAACAATAAGCAACAAGTAACTGTGGCTGGCAACCAACCAACCAAGCATGCAGAAGAAAGGGGAGATGGATTTGATTGGACATAGACTGAGAAGACGGTTTGGAGACATCAAGCGCCAGGCCAGGCACTCGAGTGGAAGCTAGATGAGAAACGACGAGTTGGACGTCACATCTGAATGTGACATAGAAGAGATAGTTTGAAGAGGAAATGAAAGCTTCTGGGCAGTCGTGGAGCGAGGTTGAAAAGACTGGAGAGAAGAGAGTGAAATGGAGACGTGCTACTGAATCCCTATATTCGACTAGGAACCCAAGGGACAAATAAATAATAATAATATTCACCATGAACTGACATTAAAAACATGGCAGCACTGGACAGCTGTTCCGTTTTAGTATGGAGCCCAGTAGCTCACCTGGAGGTCCTGGGTTCGATCCATGGCGGGGTCATGGATGCGAACTTCTGAAGAGTTACATACTAGGACGAAAAAGCTTTCCAGTGCTCCCATATTTTCAACGTTTCTCTAAATGATGTCAGTCCATAATGATAACTAACTTGATACAGTTAATTTTCATAAGACAAAGTAAAGTAGTTAAGAAGACGTTTCGGCTGTGACATTGTACTTTTAGAAATATTCTATTGTTTAAATTGTACAGTAAAATTCCTGCATATTTTTAAATTGTAGATAATTCCCGTACAAAAGAAGGCAGAACATGAACTTCTCACAGACAAAGAAAAGTCTTCATTTCATTTGATTACTGATGATGGAAATCGTAGTGGTGGTAGTAATAGTAATAGTAGCAGCATCAGTAGTAGAAAGAAATTTCCTCAACCCGTATTGAAGCAATCAGTATCAATGAGTGGATCCACAGATGAAATTGTACCAAATGAAAAGGACACCTCTATATCGCATAAAGAAGTGAGAATTAGTGAATTACAACCAACTGTGTCAATGTCAAAGAAATCTGTTACTTTATCTAGTGATATTAATATACAATCTAAAATTGTATCAGGAAGTAGTATAACACCATCGAGTGGAGTTTTAAAAGTGTCTGTACATTTGGGTGAAAGTGGGATTCAAGAATTTGCTGAATACTGGGACCATAGCATATTTTCAGGTGCAAGAGTTACTGCAGTCTGTTTAGCTGGAGCGGCTTCTGTCTGTTTAGTATGCACTGTATGCGCCAGCACTTGGTTATATCAGGGATATGGTAGGTAAAATTTTATTGCGATAACTTAATGTGAAATGATAATATGATATTTTTGAAATGGTAGAGAATATTTGTTGCTCAGGTGGATGATCTTGGTTGTGTTACTTTTTCTTAGCTAGATGGTTTTATTGTGTAGCTCTCACTGTCTTTGTAGGCAAAACCATCAGCAGTCTGACTTCAAAACGAAGTGAGACATCAGGATTTCTCCAGGAATGATTTAGTAGCTTGCCCTGACGAAGAGGTTTGTGATTGGCTGTTTCCTTCGACTGTTGTGTCATTTTGATAGATTTTCCCATTGGCTATTTCCCTGACTGACCTTGATCTTGCAGCTGTTCATCGTTTTTCTTATTGGTTGACAGATTAGGCCTATGTCTGTGTATCTACTGATTATTGATTGACCTGAAAGCCGAACTTCTGGGAATTCTGTGAAATTCTTTTCGTTTCCTTTACCCAATATCAGGACATTCTCAAATTTGAATTTATATACATAGTTGTCCATATACACTGATATGAGTGATGAAATGTTCAGGTGAACAAAGTCGAAGACATCCTTAAATTTTTCCAGTACAATATTGATCTCTGTTGTTTCGATTGATTTTGCGAATGATATTTTATTTATCTCTTGGTTAGTGAGTCATTTGACCTGCATAATAAGGTTTGATATGACTGGATATTTCTTTCAGTGTTAATTGTTTATCTTTACATAATTTTAGCACATATTTCGTCCAGTTGTACTTTTAGAATCGCTATTCACCAAAATTATTGATATCATGAGCAAAGATCTTGGGATTAACGAACTTTTTTCCGATGTACTTGTATTTCGTTAACTTTGAGTGATCTGACTAACCTTCCATTTCACCATATTCATGCAATATAAGCTGACAGTTAAATCAACACTGAAGTGACATATTTAGGATGTTTGCGGGGATTCATTGGTTTCCAGTTGGTATTCATTATGGACAGGTATTATCTGGAGAAACATTGAATAACTAAAAGCACAGGACAGCTGTTTCTTCCCAGTATGGGTTTCTTCCCCACAGCATTGCCGTGACCTTACCAGGAATTAAACCAAAGGTGGTCAGTTCTCAGGGGAAGCAGGTTACGATTTAGTCAATCGGTTAGAATCCAGTGGTTCGAATTTTCATACTTCCATCAATTCACAATACAGTGCTACCATCGTCTAATATCATCAGTTAACATTCTTCCATACATCGCACTTTGCCGACCCCAGGGTCATTACTTCTCATTAGAATGTTGAGAAATCCATTTCAAAGGATGCCATGAAAGCCTGATGCACTAGGCAGATGTTTCTTTCTAACCTGTGTACATCTAGGTTTACAAAGGTTCTCCAAGGCGTTTTCAGTCCACGATGAATACAACTTTGAAAAAAAGTAGTGGAATACCAGATAGTGAAGTTTTATTCATGGATACTGTGGAACAAACAGCATGACAATTAGAACTCAATTAATTTTATTCACTGAACGAACTGCTTTACAGATAGTTTTGTATCTTAATGGTAGCCATTTTATAATCTGAATCATCAATTGATTTCTTTCCTATTACGTATTAGTTGTTATGACTAAATTGACAAGAAGTTCACTCTCAGATATTGTAAGGGACTATCTGCAACCTTGAGAAAATGTGTGTTTTCTTAGAAATCCAAGTGCATCAGTAAGTGTTGAGGTTGTAAACTTTACTACTGAATATTACGCTTCATGCTAAAAGAAACCAGTCACTGGACGTAAATGTCAACAGCCTTAGCAGTGATCCAAGTTAGTCAGACGGTTCTACATGCACTACTTACTGATGCTTGTGGCTTATTGGTTTAAGCTGTAACGCCACTCCACCTATCGAGGTTTGGCCATCCAAAGTAGTAGTATCATAAACCTCCATACAATAGGTATGACTCATTGCCTACTCCATGAACATGCATGTGGTTGCTGAGTTCGTCTCTATTCGATTGGACTTATGTTAATGTGCAAGTCGAAATAGTATTCACCAAGATTTTAACTTCATATTTATAACCTTGAAAGGTTTGGTTATGTATTTCACAGTTTATTTGATAGAATGTAAGTATAAACAGTTTTAGAAATCACTCGTAAATGAACTCATGAATATAAAAGTGATTCCATTTTATAAGTATGTTTGCGTTATTCAAATATGCTTGAGAAATATAATCAAGATCACATTTCAGTGGTGATTGTTGCAGCTGGAAAAAACATGATTTCTTTTAACCAGTTTCGAACAACTTCACTTGCGGGTGGTCATCTCTCTTGTTAGCCGGTACATTGTTTTAATTGGTCAAAGGTCACTAGACAACTGCTTTTCCTACTTTAGCACTCAGAAGTGTGCATATATGACCCCACTAGGGAACGAACCGACAACCCTTGGGTTCCATGGCGAGCATTTTACCATTGGGTTGGAGTTTGGTGGTCTACAGTTTCCCACTTCTGTCAGTTAGCAACATAAAGTAACGTTCATCTAACGCTGTCATTAAGCACATTTCCTGATGTTCGACTTGCTTGCCCCACCAAAAATAAATCCTCATTAGAACTTCGGGAAATCCCATATCAAAGCAAAAATAATGAAATGACGGCATGAATAGTTCATATTTCGTTGGCAGTTGAAGTGAGGAAATCGTTGGATATTTTACCAAGTAACTGAAATGACTTTGTTCATTGACTCAAGGGAACTTCTTGAAATGACAGATATTCATTCCTGGTTCCTTCCACTGTGGATATACAGTCCAAAGTTGAGAGCCGTGTAATGTATTCAAGTTGTGTTGTAGTGATGTAACCAGTGAATAATCCGAAGTGGTTGACTGCCCCATACACTATGACCACTAAGATGGAAAACCATAACAACCGGAAAGTTGTCTCAATAAGATGATACCACTGGGGATAAAATAGATTTTCTTGGAAATAATCCCATTTACCATCAAGTAAGGCTAAAATTACTTTTTAACTTGAATTTGTGTCCCATTAGCATCTCATATCCTCTTATTGCCTCAAGTTAATATAGAGAAGACGGAGGTGATAAAGATACCCAACCAACAACAGCATCAACAACAAGCACCAATCACCATCAACAGGAGAAACGTGGAAGAAAGTTGTCTCATTCACCTACCAACTAGGCAGCATCGTTCCAACTACAGGTGGCGGCTGCTGCACAGATGATGTTACAGCCAGGATCAGGAAGACAGAAAGACAGATTTTCAAGAATCTGAAATCAGTGTGGAGATCTACTGCACTCAGCACAAAGAACAAGATCCGGATTTTCAACACTAATCCCACTCAAGTCAGTGCTTCTATGTCTTGATTCAGAAACTTGGTGCGTCATGAAAAAACATTCAACAAACCACACACATTCATCAACAGATGCCACCTACGCTCACTTGATACTGACACTGAAGATCAGATCAGATGGCCAGAATAATAAGAATAAGCAACAAGCAACTCTGGATGGATGGATGACAATGAACCAATGAAGCAAGAACCCATCACCCAACAAATATGCATGAGAGGAAAGTGGAGATTGTTTGGATTGGGCATACACTGGGAAGATGGTTTGAGGACATCACGCGTCAGTTCAGGCCGTCGAGTGTAATGCAAAGGGGAAACGACGAGTTGTGTGTGACATCTGAGGGTGACATGGAGGAGATCATGTGAGGAGGAAATGAGAGGTTGTGGGCTGTTGTGTAGCGAGGTTGAAAATGTTGGAGAGAAGTGAGTGGAATGGAGATGTGCTACTGAATTCCTATGTTCCACTAGGAACCCAAAAGAAAAATAATCATGATAATCCTCTTGGTAAATTACTGTGTACATTGATCGGTCGGTTGAGGATAACCTATTTTTCACTGTTTCATTCAAAATATGCCAACCAATTCCTTTCGACCATTCTTCAGTTTGTCACCAAGCTAAGTGACTCAACAATGTACTGCCCTTTGATTAGTGATAGTTAAAATATGTCAACTAGCAAGAAATATAGGTGAAATAGGGTTTTATGGCGGTTACCGTCAATCATATAATTTCAGCCAAAGTGATTATGACATTAAGTCTCCTAGCGTGGTGGCCACATTGCAAAGTAACCAACAGAATTCAGTCAGTACTCAGAACAAGAAATCATGAAATTGATTGCCTTCCAGTAAGCAATCATTGTAACTACTTCAGTCCTTCTGTTGGTGAATCACGGCGTGAATAGCTAAGTTGTAACATCTCTGACTGTAAACCTAGTTGACGATGGCTTAGATATGCTAGGATACATCAATACACTTCTTCTTACGAGCTATTCCCTTCAACCAACTAAAATATATCAATTACGTATGCACTAACAACCGGAAGACTTCCAAAGTGGTGAGGATGATACTGTTAACATATGTATTCAGATTTGAGTATCCGTGATCGCTGTCGAAAGTCACTCCTTTTCCTACAGAGTGACAGAACACATACTTAAAACATAAACCCACACTTTTCAGTTTCTCAGCAGGACACCCTCTTCCTGATCTACACTGTGTGAAGGAATGAAAGAAATTAACAAATAAATCCGTGAAAGTTATTCTTTCAAATAATGAGAATCATGCTGTTTTGTACTATGATCAAATTCATAGTTAACTCAACATCTCGGTACGCTACTCATAACTTCATCAACCAAATTTTGTTCCTTCATAAGCCTAAGTGATTCCCATCCACGTTACACTTCAATGATCGACGTTGACATTCATTCAACAAAACCTCTAGAATCTAGTTTTCAGGCTAATAAATACTCATCACCAAGATACATATACATCTACATACATATACAACTCTGAAGAAACTGGTGTTTTTTCAGCTATTTCAGTCTGCATTAAACACTCCAGAACTCAGAATTGCAGCGCTGTGTAGTGTTGAGCCATTCAGCTTATCCATTACATTGCGTCTCTGGGAAAGAACCAACCAACAAACATGCAGAAAATGAAAGTGGACATGGATTGGGCATACACTGAGAAAACCATTCGGAGACAT